ACTACTAACACCACAAAAAATAAAGAAGATTTAAAAAAATGAATAGTAAAAAATTAAAAAGTGAAAGGTAAATAGATAACTAAAATGTAAGGATATTTTTGATGGGTTTAATGGGTGAATACCATAGACATATTATAAGTAAGTATTAATATGCCTATGATACATTCACGCGCAATTAATTAATAATAAAATAAATGAAAACTCTCAAGAGTCAATGAAGATTCAGTCTCAATTTTCATTTTTCATTATATTGATTATTGACAAATAGTTTAGTGATAACACGGATGGCGGTAACATCACAGAATGGATTATATTAAATATTTTTCTGTGGTAACATTATCTGAGATACCGCTGTAAGGTTATCAAATCCACTGCGATCTCTTTGACCCTTGTTAAGAGCGTTAAAAACGTGAACGTTCTTAGATAATACGAGACACGAGACACAAGATAGTGTGATTTGTTTTGTTTACATGTACGTCTGTATCGGAAGTGGTTTCGTTTTAGTTTAATAATAACAAATAATAATAATATTATTACTGATTGTGGGCGACGTAGATATTAACATTATTATTATTCACATCGTTTGTTCGAGTTCAGAAACATTTCGTTTTAACTCGTGTGTTGATATGATTTATTTTGAATTCGACGAGTTTATCGTTAAAATCGTGTTGTGTTCGTTTAATTTATCGCTTTGCCAAAACACGTAAGTAGGACATCATGAGACATGGACTATCATCGTCGTTCGTTAACGATTATTGAACGATAGTCCTAATACTCATTACGTTTCGTTGTATTTGTTTTACGTATTATTTAAAAATATTGCATTTTACGTGAACGGAAACATAAATAAGTAGTAATTATGGTTAAGAACGAAGAAATGCATTACATCGATTCGGACGACCAAGAAGAAAGCGTTGGTGGAAAGAAGATCTCAGACAACAAGTGAGTTATGTCACTAAACTACAGTCGAACTTGGTTATTTCGAAATTAAAGGAGCCCCGAAGAAATTTTGAGCTATACTAATTAAAATTTATTAAAACAATACAAAATATATTCATTTTTATGTATTTATTATAAATAAAGTAATGTATTGAAAAATATTTATTACCTATGTATTTATAAATGAATTATGTA